TAAATATAGGATATACAAGTAAGGTTAAAAATGTAGTAGTAGGCCAGGTGCAGTATATGTTACTGGTTCAGTGCTCAGTTACTTTTTTTTTTTTTTTTTGACACCACACTGACTAGAATACAGTGGATAAGCAAAGTTCTCCACCAGGAAGAGAAATACTTGTGTTGCCACAACAAACTGTTCATACTGTCCATCTGGGTTTGCAGTGGGAGAAAGTTAAATTAGGAAAGGATTTACAACGTACTCGTTCCAGCAAAGCATATGGCCGAGTCCTTATCACCACCTGCTGCGAGAACAAGACTGACGTGATTGCATTGTGTTCCCATGGCCGTGTCTCACATGGACCACGCTGGATACCATTGCCCAAGACCTTAATGTTACAGAGCAAATGTTACTGAAAGGAAATACTGAAGTGAGAACATAACTCTGACTCAAAAAATTAACTGGAGAAGTAGAAGCTGCTTAAAGCAAGTAAGTGAATGTTGCTGAAGATGATTACAAATTTAAGTTTCTAAAAATACAAAAAGGCACATTTACATCACTGGTTTGCGAGAACACTGCATACACCTGACTACTGTAAGTTAAACTGCTTCTGGCCCATAGCTAGTTGCGTATTTCAAGCTTTGTATTCGCAAAACTAAAATTCTAAAGCAATCCAATCCAAGTGGCATGCAAACAAAAGACAGCTATAGCTGGACTCTACTTAACTCCCCAACTGTGAGCAGTACGGCTGCCCTTCGGGTAATAATGTGGTAAGGTACTTTGCTCGCCCCGCGCACCGATCAAGTCTGTCAAATACCTTTTCCTGCCTGTATAAATGATAACAGCTACCTATTCTGATGAGAAGAAAGGCTCTGGCTGCAGGAAACGGAGAAAGAATAGGTGACAAACTATCTACAATTTAAAGCAATGAATAGTTCTGTTTATTGTTCAACTGATATAAGGATGTCGTCTTTTACTTATGTCACTTAAATGGATCAAATAATCACCACAATAGGTTTTAACTAGCGTACAGTTCAAGTATTCGTACACCATTAGCAACGCTGAATGCTTTCTGCAGTTTTTTATTAAGCCAATTTCCTCTCTTTCCTGGTTTAAGATGCTGTGAAAAAGGTATGACGAATGAAGTTTTAAAAACCAGCTGATGGTGATTTCTCTCTATACGTATCAGGGTGCAGCTAGCAGGTAACCCACAGGAAGGAAACGGACGTGTACTCCACGTGCAGCAGGCTGAGCTATGGTGCAATCTGTAGGGA